TAAATTTCACTTCTGATCGACTCTATTTGGCAAACTCCACACGAGTGACAATTCGGACAACATGCAACCTATGTTGTTCTCACAAGTGCTTCACCGCCAGTGTGGCCAACAGCACCACGCCCGGCCGCCTTTGTCTCCCACAGTGGCGATGTTTTTACACATCGCACCAGGTGCTGATTTTGAGTCTGAGTCGACGTAGGTGAGGCCCAGGACGGGTTCAGATGATTATAATCGTCACTGGGTGCTGGTGGCCGTGAGCGGGAATCGAACTCGGGTCGCCGGGTTCGTGGTGTAGCGTGCTAACTGCTATGACACCACCACCAACAACAACATTACCACCACCACCAACAACAACAACAGATTACCACCACCACCAACACCATGACAAAAACAACCCCCTACATCCTCTCCACGCCCACCACCACCACCAACACTGCAGTATCAGTCCGCATTGGCCACGAGGAAGCGGAGGGTCTGCAGACCCGTTGCTTCGTGACAAGTGACACAAAGTCCCAGCGCCGCAGTGCCTCGTGTCACCCTGGCCAAGGTGCTGTGCCACCCTCCGCTTGGCACCGGCTCAACGTCCGCATGCTGTCCTCATTCCCACGCTAGTTCTCTCCTCGCTGCCTCTGAGCAGTCCACCCCCCCCTCCTCCTCTCTCTTTGAGAGACTTTGACTCCATCTTCTTGGTTCTAGATTTGAAGCTTTCGTGACTGCAAGGATTCATATTCTTAGGTTTTTTCGGTAAAGTCACGTAGGTAAAAAAATTAAAATTAATAAAAGTAAAATAACATAGAAATAAAATAATAAAAATCACGACGTTTCGGAGGCAAGCGTGCTGTGACGGTTCCACCTGAAGACGGAAGCTTGTGTTGCCTCCGAAACGTCGTGATTTTTATTATTTTATTTTATTTTACTTTTATTAATTTTAATTTTTACCTACGTGACTTTACCGAAAAAACCTAAGAATATCTTCTTGGTACTTTCGGTAAAGTCACGTAGAAGGGAAATAATAAAATAATAAAAATAAAACATAATTAAATAATTCTCACGACGTTTCGGCCACAACGCAAGCAGCCGTCCTCAGGTGAAGAACAGGTCTGTCGGGAAGACAGCGTCTGAATGGAATTCATTCAGACGCTGTCTTCCCGACAGATCTGTTCTTATGGTGGTGGTGGTGTTGGTGATGGTGTTAGTGGTGGTCTTTACCGAAAGAACCAAGAAGATGAATCCCTGCAGTCACGAAAGCTTTAAATCGAGACTTTGACTTTTAAACAACTTTTATTGCCGCCAGCAGCAAAAGCACTGGAGTCTATTTCGATATGAAATACACAAAGTCACCAGCAAACAAATGGAAATAAACGCTACAAATCCACGCGCTGTGGCGCTAAAAGCACCGCGCACAACACGAAAGAAAAGCCACGTGGTGGTGGTTGTGGTGGTGGTGGTCATCGCGCACGCCACGGTGACGAGCGAGCGCTTCAGAAGGTGAACAACACGAGGGTGCCGTCCACGCTGGTACAGAGAGGGGCTTGTCCGGCTCCCCAGCGTTCGAAGAAGACGTGCACATCACCAACATGTGTGTGGTACGCGGCGTGCTCCAGCCGGAGCCGCGCCTTGAGCAGAGAGAGACAGACAGAGAGAGAGACAGAGACACAGAGAGAGACAGAGACACAGAGAGAGATAGAGACACAGAGAGAGACAGAGACACAGAGAGAGAGAGAGAGAGACAGAGACACACAGAGAGAGACAGAGACACAGGGAGAGACAGAGACACAGAGAGAGACAGAGACACAGAGAGAGACAGAGACACAGAGAGAGACAGAGACACAGAGAGAGACAGAGACACAGATAGAGAGACAGAGACACACAGAAGAAGACGTGCACATCACCGACATGTGTGTGGTACGCGGCGTGCTCCAGCCGGAGCCGCGCCTTGAGCAGGCCCATGAACACTGGAAGCACAGAGAGCTGTAGTCCGTAACACCGCAGCAGCAACGAGTTACAAAGTTGACATAATTTTTACGAGACAAAGAAAACATTGCTGATGGTGGCGCGTGTGTTTTTTTTTGTAATTTCTACCCGCCTAACCTCATCACTTCCCCCATTCGCGCGCAACAACCACAGACTTTGCCAATGGTCCCGTGATTTCCTTTTTTCCCCCCTGACTTATCGGTCCAAGGCAGATCCTGCCTCGTCACGGATTGCAGCACCAAACGTTTTGAAACAACCTCGTTGCCTCCCTTTAACATCACTTAACCTTCCTTAAAAAAATATATAGTCTGGAGCGCATGATTAGCGCTGGATAGCGACCACATTTGCCATTTGTAACTGTGATCCTCACCCATGCATCCACAGTTCCATTTTAATGTGCAGTTTTATTGAGGGGCTGTGCGCTGTCTTGGTGTGGTTCTGGGACTGTTTTTTGTTTGCTGCCCTGTCCAAGATTGCATTTATTGTTGAAACATCGGCCAGGCATTTATGCACTTATGCAAAGTGTACTTCTGTACTTTATTTTTATTCAGTGACTTGCTTAGATTTTCTACACTTTGCAACTCCTATCGTGTGTTTGGACTGTTTGTTGTTGCAACTTTATGACCCACCCCGAATGGACATCTGTAAAAGCGAAGAGCTTCATAGCTTATCGGATTTCTCCAGTCTACATGCAGATTCTGATCCTCGATTAACTCGCATCCCAATTCTGGTTTGCTGATACATTTGTCGGCTGTGTTTAAAGTGTTTTATTTTTATTATCCAGTATGCAAATAAATGTATCTGACAACATACACACGTACATACCATACTACATAATGTGATTTCATTGCACTCATTGTACACATTATAGACTACGTAACGTCATCGTGCATTTAAACAGACTGCTTCGTGTCGTACGGCTGACGGAGATGCAGAACATCGACTGCAATATTCCTTGGTTCTTTCGGTAAAGTCACGTAGATATAGAAAAAAAATAACAATAAAAATAAAGCTAATACAAATGATCGCAACTGTTGATAAAGTCTTCTTGGTTCTTTCGGTAAAATCACGTAGAACGGAAATAATAAAATAATTAAAAAACATAATAAAATAATTACTTTATTTTAATAATAAAATAAATGCTTTAAATCGGGAGGTCTCATAATGTAAATGCTTACCCCGAGCTCTCAATACTCTGATGGTGCATTGTCTTTGAGTTGTGCGCCTTTTGGCGTCATCTGGTCCAACACCATGTGAGACTGGGCTCTAAGAAAATCTGTCTCGGTGTAGACCAATCAATTTCAAGGACAGTGCATACGTTATCAGAGTTGTCTTTTTGTTTGCATTTTGACCGCAAGTGTTGTGATTAATGCAAACATGATCCCTCGTATAAAGGTGTCAGTTTTGTTGCCAGATAAAAGGGTAAAAACCTATTACTACTACAAGCTCACTTAAATTGTACTAAATATAAGAATCAAAACGAATCTCTCCCGTCTCCGTCGTGCCTGTATCTCTCTCTCTTCTCTCCCTCGACGACCCTTGGATTCCATCTCGAGACGTTCACATCTGTCTTGTTTCTCCATCACCCTTCCGTTATCGAACGACTCGTGTCTGCATTTCTCTCATCTCGCTGAGTCGCTGTCTGTCGCCTGCTGTTGCTGTTCTGCATCTTTACCCAAGAAAGCCTCACTTTCAGGATGGGTCATGGCATTTTGTTTTCATAGGAAGGGGCACCCCCGGTTGGCAACGTACGGTGCAAAAGAAGTTCAATATTCGTGCATATGTACACATCGTACACACGTACACAGTACAGGCACCGCAGTACACACATCGTACAGACACGCAGTACGTACAAACAGTACGCACCCACGATCAGCACGGTTGGCAACGTCCGGTGCAAAAGAAGTTCAACATACGTACATACAAAAAGAAAACCCCTCTAAACTATTCCTAATCGATGTCCATATTGCAACCGAGTCACTCACGGCGTCATTTTTTCGAACGTGGCCCGGTAATTTGTTTAAGCGGTCAAGAATACGCAGACCGCAAGTGTTAACCAGGGGCGGCCGCTTGATTCGAACCACCAACGTTTTGCAAACGAGCGGTGGGACCTGCCACCGCTTGGCCAGGTCACCGCCCTCGATATCCATAAACCCATAAACGATCTGTCAACTCATTCGGAGTTTAGCCCCCCCCCCCCCCGAATATGCCAGCACCACCACTGTGAACAACAACAACAACGACAACAACAGACGGCTGCCACAGGTCCAATTTTTGTGCTTTGTTTTAACCCGGCGAGAAGCCAGGGCGAGCGTCACTTGCCAAGAGTGACCTGACCTGGGTCGCAACATTTATGTTTTTAAATCCTTTATATTAAGTTCGCTTGCTTGCTTACGACCGTGCACATCTTTCGGTCGTTTTTTAACCCACTTCCCGTGATCCAATCGAGCTGACATTTTGCACACAGACTCGTTGTGCGAGACAATTAATGTTCGTGAAAATTTTTTTTCCAAAATTTTACACTGTTTAGGGAAAACAAATTAAATATTTAATTACCAATTGCTTAATGGTGGCAGACAATCATCTGACCCATAGGTGGCAGCCATCTCAAGCCAGAGGACGAGAGGACTCTAGCCGCCACGCATATAAAGGATTTATAGTGAAAAACTTTGTTTTTACGGGTTATACTTATTTAATGACAAGGACGATGTAAAAATGAAGTAAAGCCTACGAGACCCCAAAAAAGGACGCAAATTCCCGAACCGTTCAAACTCGCAGACCCCCCAGCCCACGCTTTCACAAGGAGCACAGCAGTTGCCGATAAGGCAGCAGGAGATTTCACTCTTCCCCGTGACGGCAGCCGCAGGTTCTCATAAACACTTCACCTTTTTGTGGTTATTATATCTTTTTTTGGCAGGAGGGGGGGGAGGAGAGGCTGGGCTAGGGTGGGGGGCGGTGCTGGTGGTGGTGGTGGGGGTTACAGGGATATTTGCCAACATGTCAAGTTAGTTCAGCTGACTGTCTGTGATTCTGGCCGCGTATAAAAAGAGGAGGCGACCCGGTCCCTTGAGACATCACGGACACGGTGCCCCCCCCCCCCACACCAACTCCTTGGTCGGTGCATCTCGCTTGCAAGTAAGGGCCTCTTGCATTCATCCGTAACCCTCTTGATTCCGCGTGCATCACACCACTGAAGCTGCCACGGTGGTGGCAGCGTTCAGGTGACAGTTGACACGTGGAGGCAGCAATGTGTTCAGGTGCCAGTTGGCACGTAGTGGCAGCAATGTGTTCAGGTGACGGTTGCCACGTGGAGGCAGCAATGTGTTCAGGTGGCAGGTGGCACGAGGTGGCAGCAATGCGTTCAGGTGCCAGTTGGCACGTGGTGGCAGCAATGTGTTCAGGTGCCAGTTGCCACGTGGAGGCAGCAATGTGTTCAGGTGACAGTTGGCACGAGGTGGCAGCAATGTGTTCAGGTGACAGTTGGCACGTGGTGGCAGCAATGTGTTCAGGTGACAGTTGGTACGAGGTGGCAGCAATGTGTTCAGGTGACAGTTGGCACGTGGTGGCAGCAATGTGTTCAGGTGACAGTTGGCACGAGGTGACAGCAATGTGTTCAGGTGACAGTTGGCACGAGGTGGCAGCAATGTGTTCAGGTGACAGTTGGCACGAGGTGGCAGCAATGTGTTCAGGTGACAGTTGGCACGTGGTGGTAGCAATGTGTTCAGGTGACAGTTGGTACGAGGTGGCAGCAATGTGTTCAGGTGACAGTTGGCACGTGGTGGCAGCAATGTGTTCAGGTGACAGTTGGCACGAGGTGGCAGCAATGTGTTCAGGTGGCAGTTGGCACGTGGTGGCAGCAATGTGTTCAGGTGATAGTTGGCACGTGGTGGCAGCAATGTGTTCAGGTGCCAGTTGGCACGTGGTGGCAGCAATGTGTTCAGGTGCCAGTTGGCACGAGGTGGCAGCAATGTGTTCAGGTGATAGTTGGCACGTGGTGGCAGCAATGTGTTCAGGTGATAGTTGGCACGAGGTGGCAGCAATGTGTTCAGGTGCCAGTTGGCACGAGGTGGCAGCAATGTGTTCAGGTGATAGTTGGCACGAGGTGGCAGCAATGTGTTCAGGTGCCAGTTGGCACGAGGTGGCAGCAATGTGTTCAGGTGACAGTTGGCACGTGGAGGCAGCAATGTGTTCAGGTGGCAGTTGGCACGAGGTGGCAGCAATGTGTTCAGGTGCCAGTTGGCACGTGGTGGCAGCAATGCGTTCAGGTGCCAGTTGGCACGTGGAGGCAGCAATGCGTTCAGGTGCCAGTTGGCACGTGGTGGCAGCAATGCGTTCAGGTGCCAGTTGGCACGAGGTGGCAGCAATGTGTTCAGGTGCCAGTTGGCACGTGGTGGCAGCAATGTGTTCAGGTGGCAATTGGCACGTGGTGGCAGCAATGCGTTCAGGTGGCAGTTGACACGAGGTGGCAGCAATGTTTTCAGGTGGCAGTTGACACGAGGTGGCAGCAATGTGTTCAGGTGACAGTTGGCACGTGGTGGCAGCAATGCGTTCAGGTGGCAGTTGGCACGAGGAGGCAGCAATGTGTTCAGGTGCCAGTTGGCACGTGGTGGCAGCAATGTGTTCAGGTGGCAGTTGGCACGTGGTGGCAGCAATGTGTTCAGGTGCCAGTTGGCACGTGGTGGCAGCAATGCATTCAGGTGCCAGTTGGCACGAGGTGGCAGCAATGCGTTCAGGTGCCAGTTGGCACGTGGTGGCAGCAATGTGTTCAGGTGCCAGTTGGCACGTGGTGGCAGCAATGTGTTCAGGTGATAGTTGCCACGTGGTGGCAGCAATGTGTTCAGGTGGCAGTTGGCACGAGGTGGCAGCAATGTGTTCAGGTGCCAGTTGGCACGAGGCGGCAGCAATGTGCTCAGGTGCCAGTTGGCACGTGGAGGCAGAAATGCGTTCAGGTGACAGGTGGCAATGTTGAAGTCTGCTGGCCTCGACAACGCTTCATCAGAGAGGAAGAGTTCGCGTCGTGTTGCTGCTTCTTCTCCGTCGAAGTAACGCGGACCGCAGTGCGCTTTGCTAGATGGCCCATCTATTGGCTTGCATGGCCACCACCACACTACTGTGGCCTGTGGCTTGTCTTTAATGCATCTCCATGGGTCTTTATGGGTCTCTATGGGCCTCTACGCGTCTCTGTGCGTTTGCTACATGGTCCATAGTTTGGGTTTGCATCGCCACCATCTCAGTCGCGTTCGCTCGTGGCTTTAATTTTCCGTTCATGAAGGAGACGCGCGCATCGGCCTGATATCGATGTTCTGACGATGCGGGTGATGGTTACACTCCACCGGCGTCGTTGAGGAAGAATGTCAATACCAGGAAGAGGTCCGATGATGATGATGATGATATTCTTGGTTCTTTCGGTAAAGTCACGTAGAAGGGAAATAATAAAATTATAAAAATATAAAACAATAGTTTGTTGAAGGATCTCAAAGCTATGTGGAAACCCTCCTGGTAGAGGCGGTTAAATTTTTATTTAAAGCTTTCGTGACTGCAGGATTCATATTCTTGGTTCTTTCGGTAAAGTCACGAAGAAGGGAAATAATAAAAGAATAAAAATATAAAACAATAGTTTGTTGAAGGATCTCAAAGCTATGTGGAAACCCTCCTGGTAGAGGCGGTTAAATTTTGATTTAAAGCTTTCGTGACTGCAGAGATTCTTATTCTTGGTTCTTTCGGTAAAGTCACGAAAGCTTTACATCAAAATTTAACCGCCTCTACCAGGAGAGTTTCCACATAGCTTTGAGATCCTTCAACAAACTATTGTTTTATATTTTTATTCTTTTATTATTTCCCTTCTTCGTGACTTTACCGAAAGAACCAAGAATATGAATCCTGCAGTCACGAAAGCTTTAAATAAAAATTTAACCGCCTCTACCAGGAGGGTTTCCACATAGCTTTGAGATCCTTCAACAAACTATTGTTTTATATTCATATTATTTTATTATTTCCCTTCTACGTGACTTTACCGAAAGAACCAAGAATATGAATCCCTGCAGTCATGAAAGCTTTAAATCAAGATGATGACGATGATGTTTAGGGCCCCGAATGAGTTGGCGTCTATTCTGAACGGCCGCGTTGCTCCACTCTGCTCGCCAGTGAGTTTTTAAATCCTTTATATTAAGTTCACTTGCTTGCTTGCTTGCGCGCTTACGACCGTGCACATCTTTCGGTCGTTTTTTAACCCACTTCCCGTGATTCAATCGAGCTGACATTTTGCACACAGACTCGTTGTGCGTGACAATTTATTTTCGTTAATTTTTTTTTCCAAAATTGTACACTTTTCAGGGAAATTTTTTTTTATATTTAATTACCAATTGCTTCATGGTGGCAGGCAATCATCTGACCCATAGGTGGCAGCCATCTCAAGCCAGAGGACGAGAGGACTTATAGTGAAAAACTTTTTTTTACGGGTTAATTTTTGTTTTACTTTCCAGCATCCGGGCGAGATTCTAGGATGGTGACAGCAGCAGCGGCAGCGTGATCCAAGGGGATTGCGTGGTGGGGGGTCGTTGATGAGAGTGATCGTGGCGCCCAAACGAATAAGAAGAAACAGCCAAAAGCGACTTCCTGCTCCAATGAGCATTAGTATATTGGTGATCATTGGTAGATTGGTGATCATTGGTAGATTGGTAATCATTGGTAGATTGGTAATCATTGGTAGATTGGTGATCATTGGTAGATTGGTGATCATTGGTAGATTGGTGACCATTGGTAGATTGGTGATCATTGGTAGATTGGTGATCATTGGTAGATTGGTGATCAATGGTAGATTGTTGAACTGAGAGAGTGCAAACAAAGATCCCCGTGTAGCCTTACCAGTCTGTTGGGGCAAGTGCTGTTAGCGAGTAGCACCTATGAAGGCAGGCATGGCACACGAGAGGGTGAGTGGCCAACACCACGCCCGGCCGCCTTTGTCTCCCTAGTCGCGATGTTTACGCACGTCAGCAGGTACTCTTTTGAGGCTGATTCGACCTAGGGGAGGAGGCCCAAGACAGGTTCAGATCATCGTCTTTGGTGTCGAACACACAGTTGCTGTCAACTCTTATCAGTGCCCGACCTTATTACAGACCAATTCAGACCTTATTGGTGACCCCGTGCCCCTTATACATCTCAACGTTCATCCTACAAAGTCACCATCACAAGGGAGAAGCACAAACAAATAGACAAAAACTTTTTTTTAACTCAATTTCCCTTGTACAAGAATACGGGTAAACCGTACGTGTTGACAGCTATGAGACTCACACCACCACGACTCTCAGACTCAAGTTGGAAGGCGCTCGTGACGGAGGTGCTCAGCTGTTCGCCCCCCCCTACACACCCCACCCCCCACACACCCACACACCCCACACACACCCCACACACACCCCACCCCCTACACACCCACATACCCCACTCCACCCCCCACCCCCCACACATCCCACACACCCACACACCCCACACACCCCACCCCCACACACCCACACACCCCACACACCCCACCCCACACACACCCATATACCCCACTCCACCCCCCACGCCCCCCACACACCCAACCCCACCCCACCCACCACACCCCCCACCCCACCCCACCCCCCACACACCCCACCCCACCCCACCCCCCACACACCCCACCCCACCCCCCACACACCCAACCCCACCTCCCACTCACCCCACCCCCCACACACCCCACCCCCCCACACACCCCACCCCCACACCCCACCCCACTCCACACACCCCACCCCCCACACACCCCACCCCCCACACACCCCACCCCATCCCCCACACACCCCACCCCACCCCCCACACACCCCCACCCCCCACACACCCCCCACCCCCCACACCCCCCACCCCACCCCCCACACACCCCACCCCCCACAGTGGTGAATCAGAGGACCGCCGTGGCTCCGCCCCTCCTCCTCATCCCCCTCGTCGTCGTCGTCATGGTCACCGTTGCCGTGGCGACGCCGGCAGGACCGGAGCAGCTGGGAGACCCTCACCTGCAGCCGCACTGGGAGGCATGGAAGAGCCGCTACGACAAGGCCTATGACGAGGTGTGAAAAGCGGAGATTTTATTGCGATAAAGTTGTGGTGGTGGTGGTGGGGGGGGAGATTCATTAACGAGCCGTCGATTCGTCGGCTCAAATTCTGGCGCCACCGCCGGGGCTCAGAGATGTTAACTACCTCGCCTGGTACACAGGAGGTCGTGGGTTCGATCCCGACCCTAATCTATGATGTTTTTCTGGAGTTTGCGTCTCTCTCCGTGGTGAGATGTTAACTACCTCACATGGTACACAGGTGGTCGTAGGTTCGATCCCGACCATGACGCATGCTGTATATCTGGAGTTTGTGTCTCTCTGTCTCTCCGTGGTGAGATGTGAATTACCTCGTCTGGTACACAGGAGGTCGTGGGTTCGATCCCGACCCTGATACCTGATGTTTTTCTGGAGTTCGCGTCTCTCTCCGTGGTGAGATGTTAACTACCTCGCCTGGTACACAGGAGGTCGTGGGTTCGATCCCGACCCTAATCTATGATGTTTTTCTGGAGTTTGTGTCTCTCTCCGGGGTGAGATGTTAACTACCTCGCCTGGTACACAGGAGGTCGTGGGTTCGATCCCGACCCTAATCTATGATGTTTTTCTGGAGTTTGTGTCTCTCTCCGGGGTGAGATGTTAACTACCTCGCCTGGTACACAGGAGGTCGTGGGTTCGATCCCGACCCTAATCTATGATGTTTTTCTGGAGTTTGTGTCTCTCTCCGGGGTGAGATGTTAACTACCTCGCCTGGTACACAGGAGGTCGTGGGTTCGATCCCGACCCTGATACCTGATGTTTTTCTGGAGTTCGCGTCTCTCTCCGTGGTGAGATGTTAACTACCTCGCCTGGTACACAGGAGGTCGTGGGTTCGATCCCGACCCTAATCTATGATGTTTTTCTGGAGTTTGTGTCTCTCTCCGTAGTGAGATGTTAACTACCTCGCTTGGTACACAGGAGGTCGTGGGTTCGATCCCAACCCTGACGACGCATGCTGTATATCTGGAGTTTGTGTCTCTCTCCGTGGAGAGATGTTAACTACCTCGCCTGGTACACAGGAGGTCGTGGGTTCGATCCCGACCCTGATACCTGATGTTTTTCTGGAGTTTGCGTCTCTCTCCGTGGTGAGATGTTAACTACCTCGCCTGGTACACAGGAGGTCGTGGGTTCGATCCCGACCCTGATACATGATGTTTTTCTGGAGTTTGCTTCTCTCTCCGGGGTGAGATGTTAACTACCTCGCCTGGTACACAGGCGGTCGTGAGTTCGATCCCGACCCTGATCTATGTTTTTCTGGAGTTTGCGTCTCTCTCCGTGGAGAGATGTTAACTACCTCGCCTGGTACACAGGAGGTCGTGGGTTCGATCCCGACCCTGATACATGATGTTTTTCTGGAGTTTGCTTCTCTCTCTGGGGTGAGATGTTAACTACCTCGCCTGGTACACAGGCGGTCGTGAGTTCGATCCCGACCCTGATCTATGATGTTTTTCTGGAGTTTGCGTCTCTCTCCGTGGAGAGATGTTAACTACCTCGCCTGGTATACGTGAGGTTGTGGGTTCGATCCCGACCCTGACGATGCATGCTGTATATCTGGAGTTTGCGTGTTCACCCTCCCCGTAGTCGCGTGGAATTTTTTATCTGGGTGCTCCGGTTTTTTCGCTCCAAATTTAGAAACACGCGTTTAGAGTATGTGTCTGCTGCTGTAAATGACCACGCAAGAAGCCACTTCGTTGAGCTGTCATTTGTGATCGCCAGGTCGCTTCTGAAAAGGAGAGCTGTACAACTCAGTGGGCCCAACCTGGTCAAAAAAAACTAAACATAGTTTAGTTTTAAATAGAATAGATGTTTTGTTTACATTCAACGAATTAAAGGGAAGAGATCGTTTTCCCATTTGTACACTTTGTCTAGCAGGGGTGGGGAACCTTTTTTCTGCCAAGGGCCATTTGGATATTTACAACATCATTCGCGGGCCATACAAAATCATCAACTTAAAAATTAGCCCGATATATTTGGTCAAACATTTAATTAACTCACCCCTAATGCGATGGCTGGAACTGCTTCTCTTTGGCGAGGCGTGTGATGTTAGCTGCTATTGATGATGTTGCTGCTACTCGCAACTGCTTTTCCAGGTTTGCTCCTCGATTTATTGAATTTTGAGTCCCGCCTGCGGTTACCTTGGCAGGGCCAGACACCAAATGATTTCGTGGGCCCTATACGGCCCGCGGGCCGGACGTTCCCAACCCCTGGACTCTAATGGGTCCGTGCGATCCTCCGCTGCCACTAGAGGCCGCTACACTCTCCACCTCGTCTCCCCCTGGTGGTGCGCAGGCAGAGGAGGGCCGGCGTCGCCTCGTGTGGGAGCACAACCTAAAGATGATCGACCGGCACAACCTGGAGGAGGCCCTCGGCAAGCACTCCTACACGCTGGCCATGAACCAGTTCGGAGACGTGGTAAGTGCGGCCGCATCTGTGTCCGGATCGCTACGCAAGTGCTGTATGGGCATGGTCGTCATCACGATCCATGGGCGGAGAACCCCGTAGGTGTCCTCTGCACATTTTGTTAGTTAAATTTCGATTTAAAGCTTTCGTGACTGCAGGGATTCATCTTCTTGGTTCTTTCGGTAAAGTCACGTAGAAGGGAAATAATAAAATAATAAAAATAAAACAATAAAATAATTCTCACGATGTTTCGGCCACAACGCAAGCAGCCGTCCTCAGGTGAAGAACAGGTCTGTCGGAAAGACGCTGTCTGACAGACCTGGTCTTCACCTGAGGACGGCTGCTTGCGTTGTGGCCGAAACGTCGTGAGAATTATTTTATTATGTTTTACTTTTATTATTTTATTATTTCCCTTCTACGTGACTTTACCGAAAGAACCAAGAAGATTTTGTCAGTTGTCTCCACTTTCCTCTCTGCCTTGTGCCAATATGCTCAAGTGGTGACACATCTTCCGACACCAATCTGATGCATACCTGTCAACCCCTTATCAGTGCCCTCTACCTCATTACAGACCAATTCAGAACCTTATTGGTCACCCTGTGCCCTTATAAATCTCAATGTTCATCCTACAAAGTCCCATCACAAGGGAGTATTGAAACGGCAGTACGCCGTATGGACAGTGCGGGATTATCCTCGTAGCAAAAGTAGCTACATATGACGTAGCTACTAATATGTGGTAGTAGCTACTACTACATATGACGTAGCTAAGGGCCCCGCACATTCAAGGGCTCCGCACTAAATGCTTTCAAGCTATTAATTCCGTTTCAGTGATTCTGCACTTGCTCTATTACTATAGTACTATACTACCTTCAACTTTTATGAACGACTGGGTGTATGAGGTTAGCGATTTGTCGTATTATCTGGCTGCATAGCAAATGAAAAAAATACAATTACTTTACTATGCAAGTAAAATTGTTTTTTTTTATACTTGTGTTTATTTATTTATTTATGGCCCCTTATAACATCATACTACAGGCCCCGCACTAGTCTAATCCGGCACTGTGCGGTGTGAACCACCCGTACGGTATACATGCATCTTGGAATCCCTGCCTCACTTCATACAGCAAATCTGGCTGTGACGGTCCCACCTGATGACGGAGACTTGTGTTGCCTCCGAAACGTCGTGATTTTTGATTATTTTATTAATTAATTTTTTTTACCTACGTGACTTTACCGAAAAAACGAAGAGTATGAATCCTTGCGGTCACGAAAGCTTCAAATCCAGAATACATGCAACTATTTAACAGTGGGAAGTGACCCTAACGTGGCTCCCACGTCTCCCGCCTCATCATCTCCCCATGGCAGTCGGAGGAGGAATTCGAGCTGCAGATGGCGGCGTTGGAGCCGCTGGCAGATGACGACGGTGACGCGAGCGAGGAAGACAACGAGGTGAAGAAGTGGACAGAGTCGTCCGTCAATGCTCCACTCGACATGTCCCTGCCGAACGAGATGGACTGGCGGAATCGCGACGCCGTGACGCCCGTCAAGAACCAGAAGAAACCGGTACGCCTCCTTCATTCCACGTATTTGTTGAGCAAGAACTCGACCCCACTAAAGAGGGCATCGCAATACTTTACCGTGTGAATCTTACCTGTAAAATCAAGACGCATGTAAAAAAAAAGATCAAAACGTGAGGGCATATTCAAGGGAAAGCTCTCTCTCCCACTTCAGCAAAAATAAAAAATTATTGCTGTGATTTTCCCACCTGATGACGATTGCTTGTGATGCAATCGAAACGTCGTGATTTGTTTAATTTTTCTACCTACGTGACTTTACCGAAAGAACCAAAGAGTATGGATTCCTGCAGTCACGAAAGCTTAAAATCTAGAATGTGGCAGTTATTTTACTCGGGATAACAAACTATCTTGCAACAAACCTGACACTTTATTTACAAGGAGTCATGTTGCATTAAATGCAAACAAAAAACACAACTCTGATAATGATATGCACTGTCCTTGAAATTGATTGGTCCACACCCGAGACAGATTTTCTTGGAGCCTAGTCTCACATGGTGTTGGACCAGATGACGCCAAATGGCGTCAGTTTTGTTGCCAGATAAAATGGTAAAAAATTAACCCGTAAAAACAAAGTTTTTCACTATAAATCCTTTATATGTGTGGCATCGGGGCGGCTAGAGTCCTCTCGTCCTCTGGCTTGAGATGGCTGCCACCTATGGGTCAGATGATTGTCTGGTAGCAGCATTAAACAATTGGTAATTAAATATTTTAACAAAAATTTCCCTAAACAGTGTAAAATTTTGGAATTTTTTTTCACGAAAATGCATTGTCACGCACAACGAGTCTGTGTGCAAAATGTCAGCTCGAGTGGATCACGGGAAGTGGGTTAAAAAACGACCGAAAGATTTGCACGGTCCTAAGCAAGCAAGCGAACTTAATATAAAGGATTTAAAAAGCCAATCATCATATTTTGCTACTGGCAAAGGAGGTTCCAATGGTGTATTTCTGAAAAACCTCCACCCTTTCCCGTGCCACCCGTGCCGTTATCTCCTCTTCTCCATACCAGAGGAACTGCTGGGCCTCGTGGGCCTTCTCGGCCACGGGCGCGATGGAGAGCCACTGGAAGATCAAGCATAGCGGCGAGATGATGGAGCTCAGCGAGCAGCAGCTCATCGACTGCTCGCGCCCGTACGGCGCGCGCGGCTGCCGCAAAGGCTCGGCGAGCATGGGGTTCGTCGCCGTGCAGGAGATGCAGGGCATCGAGACGGAGGACGCATACCCGTACGAGGGCAGGGTACGTGCCGGGGTCGACCCCGGCGCCGATGGAGGGCTCGCCCGCTCTCTCGCTCTCTCTCTCTCTTTTTTTATTTCTTTTTGATAAATTGTATTTTTTGTATTTTTTATTTTAATATTTTTATTTATTTATTTACGTTCAGGGGAAACAAGAAGATGCTCGGTGTAGTCGGAACTTTGCTTCGTTCATAATTTAGTTTTTTTTAGTTTTTTTCAATGCTTTGCTTTATGTGCCCCCCCCCCCCCCCCGCGTTTAAATGAAAGATTTCACGAAAGATTTCACGCTTTGCTCTCCGCCCCCTCTCTCTCTACCCCCTCTCTCTACACCCCCCCTTTCTCTCTACCCCCTGTCTCTACCCCCCTCTCTCTCTACCCCCTCTCTCTACCCCCCCTCTCTCTCTACCCCCCCTCTCTCTCTACCCCTTCTCTCTACCCCCTCTCTCTACCCCCCTCTCTCTCTACCCCCCCTTTCTCTCTACCCCCCATCTCTCTCTACCCCCTCTCTCTACCCCCCTCTCTCTCTACCCCCTCTCTCTACCCCCCCTCTCTCTCTACCCCCTCTCTCTACCCCCCTCTCTCTCTACCCCCTCTCGCTACCCCCCCTTCTCTCTACCCCCCCTTTCTCTCTACCCCCCTCTCTCTCTCTCTACCCCCTCTCTCTCTACCCCCCTCTCTCTCTACCCCCTCTCTCTACCCCCCCTTCTCTCTCTACCCCCTCTCTCTACCCCCCTCTCTCTACCCCCTCTCTCTCTGCCCCCCCTCTCTCTACCCTCTCTCTCTCTCTACCCCCTCTCTCTCTACCCCCCCTCTCTCTCTACCCCCTCTCTCTCTCTCTACCCCCCTCTCTCTACCCCCCCTCTCTCTACCCCCCCTCTCTCTCTACCCCCTCTCTCTACCCCCCTCTCTCTCTACCCCCTCTCTCTACCCCCCTCTCTCTCTACCCCCTTTCTCTCTACCCCCCTCTCTCTCTACCCCCTCTCTCTACCCCCCCCCTCTCTCTCTACCCCCTCTCTCTACCCCCCCCCTCTCTCTCTACCCCCTCTCTCTACCCCCCTTCTCTCTAGCCCCCCTTTCTCTCTACCCCCCATCTCTCTCTACCCCCTCTCTCCCTACTCTCTGTCTATGTTCCCCCTGTTCTCCCTCTCGCTCTCCCTCTCTCCCTCTCGCCATGGTTACGAGGAACATTTACTTGGAGAAGGGGGCAGCGGTGGGTAGATGGGAGGGGGGGGGTGCCAGAGGGAAAGGGGGTGCACAGGTGGCGGCAGCGTCGTGGCGTGGTTGTTGGCTACGTACGGTATGAAAGAAGTTCAACATACATGCTGCACAAAGACTATCACTGCCCATAGACTCAACATTGCACCTCCGATCAGAAAGGTTTGCTACGTACGGTGCAAAAGAAGTTCAACATTTGATTTGCCGCAGTCCCAACGTGTTTGACTTCACTACAAGAACTTAGCAGGGGTGGGTGGGACATTCAGCCCCCCCTCCCACTTAACTCTACTGGGACAGCGCTGGGATGGGGTGGGGGTGAGCATGGGTATTGGGTGAGGATGGGGATGGGGTGAGAATGGGGATGGGGTTGGGGTGAGGATGGGGTTGGGGTGAGGATGGGGATGGGGTGAGGATGGGGTGAAGATGGGGTTGGGGTGAGGATGGGATTGGAGTGAGGATGGGATTGGAGTGAGGATGGGGTTGGGGTGAGGATGGGGATGGAGTGAGGATGGGGTCGGAGTGAGGATGGGGTTGGAGTGAGGATGGAGTTGGGGTGAGGATGGGGTTGGGGTGAGAATGGGGATGGGGTTGGGGTGAGGATGGGGTTGGGGTGAGGATGGGGTTGGGGTGAGAATGGGGATGGGGTTGGGGTGAGGATGGGGTTGGGGTGAGGATGGGGTTGGGGTGAGGATGGGGTTGGGGTGAGAATGGGGATGGGGTTGGGGTGAGGATGGGGTTGGGGTGAGGATGGGGATGGGGTGAGGATTGGGTGAAGATGGGATTGGAGTGAGGATGGGATTGGAGTGAGGATGGGGTTGGGGTGAGGATGGGGTTGGGGTGAGAATGGGGATGGGGTTGGGGTGAGGATGGGGTTGGGGTGAGGATGGGGTTGGGGTGAGGATGGGGTTGGGGTGAGAATGGGGATGGGGTTGGGGTGAGGATGGGGATGGGGTGAGGATGGGGTTGGGGTGAGAATGGGGATGGGGTTGGGGTGAGGATGGGGTTGGGGTGAGGATGGGGTTGGAGTGAGGATGGGGTTGGGGTGAGGATGGGGATGGAGTGAGGATGGGGTCGGAGTGAGGATGGGGTTGGAGTGAGGATGGGGTTGGGGTGAGGATGGGGTTGGGGTGAGAATGGGGATGGGGTTGGGGTGAAGATGGGGTTGGGGTGAGGATGGGGTTGGGGTGAGGATGGGGTTGGGGTGAGAATGGGGATGGGGTTGGGGTGAGGATGGGGATGGGGTGAGGATGGGGTTGGGGTGAGAATGGGGATGGGGTTGGGGTGAGGATGGGGTTGGGGTGAGGATGGGGTTGGGGTGAGAATGGGGATGGGGTGAGGATGGGGTTGGGGTGAGGATGGGGTTGGGGTGAGGATGGGGATGGGGTTGGGGTGAGGATGGGGATGGGGTGAGGATGGGGTTGGGGTGAGAATGGGGATGGGGTTGGGGTGAGGATGGGGTTGGGGTGAGGATGGGGATGGGGTGAGGATGGGGTTGGGGTGAGGATGGGGTTGGGGTGAGAATGGGGATGGGGTTGGGGTGAGGATGGGGTTGGGGTGAGGATGGGGTTGGGGTGAGAATGGGGATGGGGTGAGGATGGGGTTGGGGTGAGGATGGGTTTGGGGTGAGGATGGGGTTGGGGTGAGGATGGGGTTGGGGTGAGGATGGGGTTGGGGTGAGGATGGGTTTGGGGTGAGGATGGGGTTGGGGTGAGGATGGGGTTGTGGTGAGGATGGGGTCATGGTGAGGATGGGGTGAGGATGGCATTGGGGTGATGGGGCAAGGATGTTGCCACTCGGCTCTCAGCCGCCCACGTCATTTACATCGCGTTTGACTCCCCGCCCGCCCGCCCGCCCGCCTGCAGGACAACATCGCGTGTCGCTTCAACATCAGCCAGCGCTCCCCGGTGAGGGTCTCCGGCTACAAGAGGGTCCCCAGCGGCAGCGAGTCCCATCTGCAGGCCGCCTTGGCCACCGAGGGACCAGTGGCGGTGGCGATCGACGCGCGGCACATCAAGATCTTCTACAAATCCGGTGCGTCCAAACCCCATTCCCCAAACACGATTCCCACCGATCCTCCTTCCGCCTCCACGCGGTCCCGTCTCCCCATCTCTCTCCCTCCCGATGTCCCCCCACCCTCTCGCGCAGGGGGCAACCGCGCACAGCTGCGCTCGGGATGTTGAGGAGGCCTGTGCCCTTTGGGGCCGTCCATAAATGACGTCACGCGATTTTGGACGAGTTTCCCTCCCCCCCTTCGTCACACGGCGTCACAAAAAGTCAGACCCCACACCCCTCAAATATGACGTCACAAAGCTCTGCCCCCCCCCTTCCCCCCCTCCAAAATCATATTTCCATTTTGAAAATAAAACATGCTTCAAATCGCTTTAAACTATTGTCATTGTAGTGCGTATTTAATGTGGCGCTGCACTCTGATGTTGTAGGAGTGTTGTTATAACAATTAGTGCTATAACAATTCTATTTAAAGTTGCGCATTTTAATGTGACGTCACATTTCTCAAACCCCTCGTCACACATCGTCACAAATGTCTGCCCCCCCCCCCCAAGGTGCGTGACGTGACGTCATTTATGGATGGCCCCTTACTCGCCAAGGCAGTGGTTCTTAACCTTAACTGCAGCGTTGCACGCCTTTGGTTCTCGATCATAAACCAAGAAAAGTACAATGTTAATAAATACATAGGGTTTATATGAAACAAAGTAAGTTTTAATATAAAATAATAAAAATTATAAAAATAAAACATAATAAAAATATTTTATTATGTTTTATTTTTATTATTTTATTACTTCCCTTCTACGTGACTTTACCGAAAGAACCAAGAAGATGAATCCCTGCAGTCACGAAAGCTTTAAATCGAAATTTAAGTTTTAATAATAATAATAATAAGGTTTTTCCCCTTTTTTCTGGCAACAAAACTGAAACATTTTTGCAAGGATTCACGTCTGCATTAACCACAATACTTGCAGTCAAAACGCAAACAAAAAACACACTCTGATAATATTATATGCATTGTCCTTGAAACTGATTGGTCCACACCAAGGGACGGCTTTCTTTTGAGCCTCGACCCAATTGGTGCTCGACCAGAGGACGCCAAAAGGCGTACAGCTCAAAGACAATGCATTACACTGGAAGAGAAATAATAAAATAATACAAATATAAAACAATAAAAATTCTCACGACGTTTCGACTGCGATACAAGCAATACGAGCAATCATCATCATCAGGTGTAAAATCCACAGCAATACATTTTACACCTGATGATGATTGCTTGTATTTCAGTCGAAACGTCGTATTTATATTATTTTATTATTTCTCTTCTACGTGACTTTACCGAAAGAACCAAGGATATAACTTTCAAACAGTTTGTGCTGCTGCTGCTGCCCCATGATACTACCGCCGCTGCCACGCGGCTTGTTTCACCCGTTCGTACCTGCTTCGTACAGCTGCTGGACAGACGTCGTCCCTGCTGACTACGTTTATGATATAGCAGAGGTCGCAACCGGGTACCCGATACCCGTACCCTACCCGATACCCGGCTACCCGTACCTGACCGGGTACGGGTAGCCCTTTGCGACCCTGGTGCGGCCGGGTACGGGTACGGGTAGATCGTGAGTCACTGGTGAGTAACTGTTTGTCACTCATTTCCCAACGCCTTGTCTCTTCTCACAATTCAAGTTCCTAGAATCAACCCACCCGCGCCTGCAACATGGCTTCATCCCAGAGGTCGCAATCAGGTACCCGATACGGGTAGGGTACGGGTACCCGTTTGCGACCCTGGTGCGGCCGGGTACGGGTAAGGAATCAAAACCCGTTTCCGACCTCTGTGATATAGTCTTTCCCCTAACTACGATGGGAGCCGCGCTGCGTGCCGCAGAGAAGCAGATTTCATTTAAAATTATTGGGAGAAAAAAAATTAAGCCTAAAAATATTATGAGCGGAAAAATGTCTTCAGCTTTTTTTGTTCACTCTTGATCAATCATCATATCGGATGACGCAACTTTGAAGGGATGCCGTTCACGTTCATCGATAACAAATTCAATGTTCTGGCAGGACGACCGCGTTGCGAGCGCCACGTTGCTTTACTTTTGTTTAATCTTAGATATTTGTTCGGCTGTTATTTGAGGTGTACTAAGCACTACTCACTTGATACAGCTATCGTGCTGTGACGGTTCCACCTGAAGACGGAAGCTTGTGTTGCCTCCGAAACGTCGTGATTTTTATTTTATTTTTACTTTTATTAATTTTAAATTTTTACCTACGTGACTTAAGAATATAAGTGTACTAAGCAGTCGTACTCTATAACCAGGGGCTCTCACCTGGGCTTAAATCCATCCATTAGCTCACACGAGCGAATCAATGGTTAGAACGAATTAATTGAATGAACGAATGAATGAATGAACGAACGAATGAATGAACGAGCGATGATTCCTGTGGTTCGCGTGCAGGCATCTACTACAGCCGTTTTTGCCGCAATAAAGCCAAGAGGCTGCACCACTCCATGCTCGCCGTGGGATACGGCACGGAGGATGGCAAGGATTTCTGGCTGCTGAAGAACAGGTGAGGGGGGGGGGGGTGAAGGGTGAGGGGGGGGGTTAGGGAGGTTAGGGAGGGGGTTAGGGAGGGGGGTTAGGGAGGGGGGTGAGGAGGGGGATTAGGGAGGGGGGGGTGAGGGGGGTTAGGGAGGGGGGTGAGGGCGGGTGAGGGGGGATGAGGGGGGATGAGGGGGATTAGGGAGGGGGGTTAGGGAGGGGGGTGAGGGGGGGGGGTGAGGGGGGTTAGGGAGGGGGGCGAGGGGGGGGTGAGGGGGAGTTGCGGGGTTCTAGGGAGGGGGGTAGCCGCGGCATACGCGTGTGCAATTTTGCAGTGGAAGTCACAGATTTTGTTGTAGTGGCGGCTCGCCTCTGGCTCCGACTCTGCCTCGGGCTCTAACGAGTGGCTCAGCCGTGGCTCAGCTTCAGGCTCAGCTAGCGGAAATCCAGAACTTGGCTGGGAGCCTCGGACCTTGCCGGGTGCCGGCTAAAGTATGGGGTGCCATGGTGGCGAGGAGATGTTCACTACCTCGCCTGGTCTACACGAGGTCGTGGGTTTGATCATCACCCTGATGCGTGCTGTTTATTTGGAGTTTGCGTGTCTCTCTCTCATCACCACGGTGGCTAAGAGATGTTAACTACCTCGCCTGGTATACACGAGGTCGTGGATTCGATCCCGACCTCGATGCCTGCTGCTGTATATTTGGAGTTTGCTTGTTCTCCCCGTGATCACGTGGATTTTTCTCCGGGTCATCCGGTTTTTCCCTCCACATTTAAGAATTAACACGCGTTTTGAGTATTTGCCTGCTATAAATTTCCACACGATGAAAAGCCACTTGGTTGAGCTATCATTTGTGAAAGCCAGGTCACTTCTGAAAAAGAGCTACACAGCTCAGTCGGGACTTAAACCTAATAAAACTAAATAAATAAAGTAAGCGTATGGCTTTGGGCTGGCTCCCTTGAGCCAGAGCCAAGCCGGAGCCAGCTCTGACTCATACTCAGAGGTCGCAAACACGTTTTGATTCCTTACTCGTACACGTACCCGGCCGCACCAGGGTCGCAAATGGGTACCCGTTCCCTACCCGTACCCGTACCCTACCCGAAATGAGTGACAAACGGCTACTCACCAGTGACTCACGGTCTACCCGTACCCGTACCCGGCCGCACCAGGGTCGCAAACGGGTACCCGTACCCATACCCGGCCGCACCAGGGTCGCAAATGGGTACCCGTTCCCTACCCGTACCCGTACCCTACCCGAAATGAGTGACAAACGGTTACTCACCAGTGACTCACGGCCTACCCGTACCCGTACCCGGCCGCACCAGGGTCGCAAACGGGTACCCGTACCCGGTTCGGTACGGGTAGCCAGGTATCGGGTAGGGTACGGGTATCGGGTACCCGATTGCGACCTCTGCTCAGACTACGGCCCTAAGTTGTATTTAGTGCTGTGTCATTCCAAGTGTAAACTCCTCCGAGATTCTTAATTCCATTGCCAGTTTTTGTTCCACTTTCTTTGTCACTTTTCACGATGTCTGATCCGTGTCACAGCAGTAGCAGATGAAACTTGCCTTGTACACGACTTTTCGCTTTGCTTGTATGAAGGTCCCTCTGTTAATTTATTACCAGCCCTCCTATGTCCCAGTTGGCTATCTGGAAAAAAAAAACATATTTGCACATCCGGTACACCACATCCAGTATACGTAGCTACGAGTCACGCGGCTTCTACTCCAACCTACCAATGACCCGGAGAATATATATTTTTTATGATCAATTAATCTGTGCCTGTAACGTGCAAACGTGACCTAACATAGGTAAACCAAACACGATCGTGCATTGCAGACACGGTGCATGTTGTGTGTGTGTGTTGTGTGCAGCTGGGGCGCTGGGTGGGGGGAGCAAGGCTACATGAGGCTGGCGAGAAACAGAAACAACAACTGTGGCGTCGCCAGTGACGCCACGTACCCAGTCGTGTGACCCAGCGAGCGGCCAGGCTGCTCGGCCTAGAGGCGCTTGAGCTCCAGTGCCCGTGCCCGTCACCTCTCCGCTGCCACCACGTCCATCACGTCCATCACCTCCACGTCCATCACCTCCACGTCCATCACCTCCACGTCCATCACCTCCACGTCCATCACGTCCATCACCTACACGTCCATCACCTCCACCACCTCCACGTCCATCACCTCCACCACCTCCACCACCACTCCCATCACCTACCCGTCCATCACCTACACGTCCATCACCTACACGTCCATCACCTCCACCACCTCCACCACCACGCCCATCACCTACACGTCCATCACCTACACGTCCATCACCTACACGTCCATCACCTCCACCACCTCCACCACCATGTCCACGTCCATCATCTCCACCACCACGTCCATTATCTCCACCACCTCCACCACCACTCCCATCACCTACCCGTCCATCACCTACACGTCCATCACCTACACGTCCATCACCTCCACCACCTCCACCACCACGCCCATCACCTACACGTCCATCACCTACACGTCCATCACCTACACGTCCATCACCTCCACCACCTCCACCACCACGTCCACGTCCATCATCTCCACCACCACGTCCATTATCTCCACCACCTCCACCACCACTCCCATCACCTACCCGTCCATCACCTACACGTCCATCACCTACACGTCCATCACCTCCACCACCTCCACCACCACGCCCATCACCTACACGTCCATCACCTACACGTCCATCACCTACACGTCCATCACCTCCACCACCTCCACCACCACGTCCACGTCCATCATCTCCACCACCACGTCCATTATCTCCACCACCACGGCCATAAAATTCCACGTCCATCACCCCCATCACCTCCACGTCCATCACCTACACGTCCATCACCTCCACCACCTCCACCACCACGTCCATTATCTCCACCACCACGTCCATAAAACTCCACATCCATCACCTCCACCACCTCCACGTCCATCACCTCCACCACCTCCAACACCATCGCCTTTTGCACCGATAACCACCATCGCCATCACCACCATCTCCATCACCACCACCAACAATACTTCTGTCTGTACTAACATTACCACCACCAACACCATCATAGACACTGACAACACCACCACCGCCACTAAAAATACTACCACTACTACCATCACCAGACACGTACTGACACCTCCACTTCCGTCACTACGATCATCGACGCTATTGATACTTCCATAACCACCACTACCAACACAACCGCAGACGCGACTGAAACATCCATCGCCAGCACCACTTAACAAACATCACCACCGCTTTAACTGACGTAGCCACCATAACCTTCACCGCTGCTGCCTTTGCCACCACGACTGCTAACACTACCACCACGACCAACACCACCACAACCAAAATCATATCCACAAACATCACTTACATCAGCACTTTCAGCACTACCAACACTATCATAGCCTTAACACCATCACCACCAGCACCACTGCCATGGTTAACTACCACTACAATGGCTGCCACAAACACTGTCACAACTACTACTGCCCACATCACCACCAAATGCACCACTGTCAGTTTGCTTTTTATGTGGGCCGTGAGGACTGGAGTCTCTGAATCCTCGTCTGTTTTTTGGGTCGGACATAAGGCATTGCCACTCAGACATACTGAGGAGTTGACATTGGAGGCTGGTTGATCGGGCCACAGCGACACAATATAATTGGGTTTAATCGTTGCGATATTTCTGAATTAAAATGCATTAACAATTCTTGCTTGTAGTGTTTTGCCTATGTTTAGCTTTCGATTTTAATTCCCAATAAAATATGTTGAACAGTTCATTTTTTGTTCGTGCTTTTTATTTTATTTAAATCACGATTGCCGAGCACAGGCCCAAAGACGCCAAACGGCCTGCAACAAACAGCACCAAATAGAAGTGGTGACAGATAAGGTTACCTACGATTCGTTTCTCTGAATTGGGCACGGTTACAAATCACAACTTGGGGGGGAAAGAGACGAAGGGAGGGAATACAAAATTAACCCGTAAAAACTAAGTTTTTCACTATAAATCCTTTATATGCATGGCATCGGTTTTATTTTATTATTCATTCCTGTTTTTCTTGAGTAAGAGTTTCATTTTTATCACATTGGTATTTTTAATTAAATATGAAAACATTTTTTCCTAAAAAGTGGAAAATTTTGGAAATATTTTTTTCACAAAAATTAATTGTCACGCACAACGAGTCTGTGTGCAAAATGTCAGCTCGATTGGATCACGGGAAGTGGGTTAAAAAAACGACCGAAAGATTTGCACGGTCGTAAGCGCGCAAGCAAGCAAGTGAACTTAATATAAAGGATTTAACAAAGAAGCGTGCTGCAATGGAAGAAGCCGACACAACAAGTGTTTTGACATGCAGGACTACTAGCTGTACAGTATGACGTGTGTGTGTCTGTTAGGTAATAAAACAAACTATAAGCTATTTTTTTTAACTACAAACGATTATCATTTACCAGGTAAGACCCACTGAACATTTTTTTTCAGAAGTCACCTGTGCCACAGATTCCAAAAAACACAGGATGAGATGGTACTCTCCTTTGTGCAAGCACTTCCAAGAGTTCATGAACAGTGAGCCTGGTGACATTTGGGGAGCGCATCGTCAGTAGTGTACCTTTGGTTCCTAGGGTGTTTCGGCCTTTCACACGATACACCCTCCCCAAAGGTGGCCAGCGACAGGGTGATCAATCCTACGCTTGCGTCCCATTCCCAATTAGTCATAGGAGTTGCTTTGATGATAGCTCAACGAAGTGGCTTATCACGGGGAACATTTATATCTGCCAAATATTCTAAACGCAGGATTCTAAATGTTGGGGGCAAAAAAAGATAGTGCACTGCGCTACGAACCCAACAGTGACCCGAGTTCGATTCCCGCTCACGGCCAACACCAGTGACGATTATCTCAACCGGTCCTGGGCCTCCTCCCCTAGATTGACTCAGCCTCAAATGAGTACCTGGTGCGGTGTGTAAACATCGCCGCTAGGGAGACAAAGACGACCAGGCGTGGTGCTGGCCACCCACCCTCTCGTGTGCCGTGCCGGCCTTCATAGGTGCTCGCGAACCGCACTTGTTGAGACTATACCGGGGATCTTTGTCTTTAGGTAATTAAAATATATACAGCATTGGTTTTGGGGTTTGACACCTGTGACACACAGCCTACTTTTGCCAACGATAATGTAACGAGGCATTTAACGTACATTTATCAATTCACGGCCGAAGCCAATTCGAACCTTCAATCTCATCCGTTATCTTCACATAGGGGCCGTCCCTAAATGACGTCACGCACCTGGGGGGGGGGGGGGGTCAGACATTTGTGACGATGTGTGACGAGGGGGGGGGGGGGGGGGAGAAATGTGACGTCACATCAAAATGCGCAACTTTAAATAAATGTAGACAACACGTTCTACTTAATTAAATAGACTTTTTAATAAATGTTTTCTCCTACAACATCATAGTGCAGCGACACATTAAATACGCACTACAATGACAATAGTTTAAAGCGATTTGAAGCATGTTTTATTTTGGGGAAGGGGGGGGGGCAGAGCTTTGTGACGTCATATTTAAAGGGGGGGGGGGGGTCAAAAATCGTCCAAAATCGCGTGACGTCATTTATGGACGGCCCCATACCTGTCAACCCCTTATCAGTGCCCTACCTTATTACAGACCAAATTCAGACCTTATTGCTCACCCCGTGCCCCTTATACATCTCAACGTTCATCCTACAAAGTCACCATCAGAAGGGAGAAACACAAACAAATAGGCAAACATTTAGATTTAAAGCTTTTGTGACTGCAGGGATTCATCTTCTTGGTTCTTTCGGTAAAGTCACGTAGAATGGAAATAATAAAATAATAAAAATAAAACATAATAAAATAATTCTCACGATGTTTCGGCCACAACGCAAGCAGCCGTCCTCAGGTGACGCTGTCTCCCCGACAGACCTGGTCTTCACCTGAGGACGGCTGCTTGCGTTGTGGCCGAAACGTCGTGAGAATTATTTTATTATACTATGGGAACCTCATTTGCCAGTAAAAATATGATAATTGGTTTTTTACCCTTCTATCTGGCAACAAAACTGACACCTTTTTACAAGGGCAGTGCACATTATCAGAGTTATGTTCTTTTGTTTGTATTATGACTGCAGGTATTGCGGTCTATGCAAACATGACTCCTTGTAAAAAGGTGTCAGTTTTGTTGCCAGATAGAAGGGTAAAAAACCAATTATCATACGTGACTTACCGAAAGAACCATGAAAATAGGCAAACACTTTTATTTTGCCCGGATTGAAACAGCTCTACGCCGTATGGACTTTAAAACTCAATTCCCCTGTACATTTGTACAAGAATACGGGGTATGAACCGTATGGGTTGATGTCTTCACTGGTTCCACGAGGTGGAGCGATTACCTGTAAGGTGTCACATTAATATTCTTAGGTTTTTTCGGTAAAGTCACGTAGGTAAAAAACATCAAAATTAATGAAAATAAAATAAAATAAAACAAAAAATCACGACGTGACTTTACCGAAAAAACCTAAGAATATGAATCCTTGCAGTCACGAAAGCTTCAAATCTAGAATTAGTGTCACATTAACATTATTACGTAATCCCTCCCCACGTGTCATTAACATAATGTTTACGATACTCCACCCCCCGCTTGCTCTTCACATAAATTAATAAATTAGCTGTCGCATCTCACGTTCCCATTGGTTCCTAACTCACTACGTCAGCAATAATTATTCACACCACTCATTAACATAATGTATGGCAACCAATCGACGCGTCTACATTAATATAATTTATGCAAACTCCGCCCACTTTCCCCGTTGGTTTTTTTGCGGCGCGCGCGCGTGACTATTGCGCGCATAAATTAACGGCCGATTCTCGCGTTCCTATTGGCTCTGGCCGCCGAGACTGACACGCCCCCTCCCCCCCCCGCGTAACGTTACGCCCCTCCCCCCCGCTCCGCCAACTGGCTATGGTCGCGTGCGCGGATGTTTACGTTTTTGGCGCCGCTCGACAACCGTCGTCCCTTAACGCGCGCGGGGTGTGCGCATTTGCACACCGAGCAGAAACTACGACCAACTCTCATCGCTCCGACGCCAAAATTGAGGACATTTTTGAGGGAAAGTCGACCGCGGCGATGAAGGAAAACAACAGCCCGACGCTCTCCGACGAAGACGACGCGGACGAGGTGGCGTCGTCGTCGTCGTCGACGGCGTCGTCCAGGTCGGGTTCGTCGGCCTCCGGAGGCGAGTGCGGCGGTGGCGGCGTAGAGTACGCGGGGACGCTGAGCAAGTGGACCAACTACCTGCACGGCTGGCAGGAGCGATACGTGATGCTTGCGAACGGCACGCTGAGCTACTACAAGTCTGAGCACGACACCGAGTTTGGATGCCGAGGCTCCGTGTGCCTCGGGAAGGCGCTTATCACGGTTCGTTTTTGTTTCATTTGTGTGATTTTTTTGTGCTAAAAAAGTCTCGGTTTTTGTTTTATTTGTGCGATTTTTTTGTATGCTATAGTCTCGTTTTTAGTTTTATTTGTGTGATTATTTTAATGTAAAAAAGTGTCGTTTTTGTTTTATTTGTGTGATTTTTTTAACGTAAAAAAGTATCGGTTTTTGTTTATTTGTGTGATTTTTTTCATGCTAAAAAAGTATCGTTTTTGTTTTATTTGTGCGTTTTTTTACGTAAAAAAGTATCGTTTTTGTTGTATTCGTGCGTTTTTTTAACGTTAAAATATCGGTTTTTTTTCAGTACGTGTAAAGTTTCTCGTTGCACGTCTTCGTGGCGATCTGACGACGACGTTAAATGTACTCTCGCACCGTGTTACACATTTAGCTTCTGTGAAGACCTTTTTACGTGGTAAAAAAACACCGAAACTTCGTACGTTGAGAATGTCGTTACGACGCATCGATTACGCAACCGCGTGGTAATGTTTTTGATCGTAGATTTGATACAAATCAATAGCGCACTGCCTGGAGAAGGTCCGTCCCTTTAGCGTCGGAACTCGCTTAGACCCACCACCACCACATAGCCCACAGATGCAGATCAGTGTCTGTGATATCGGCAGTGCCATAATCGATTCCCACAGCAAATCTGACTGCTGATGAGACATCGTGGTGTCAAAACCGGTCCCAGTGTTTCTTGCTTAGATCACAACGCTGCTGAAATTACACACAAACTCAGTGGTTGATGGGATGTGTAAGAATACACGCATGTACTTTGTATGTGGAGACGCACGTGTGAAGGAGATACTGTCATCTGGTTGGTTCTTTCGGTAAAGTCACGTAGAATGGAAATAATAAAATAATAAAAATAAAACATAATAAAATCATTCTCACGACGTTTCGGCCACAACGCAAGAAGCCGTCCTCAGGTGGAGAACAGGTCTGACTGTCTTCTCGACAGACCTGTTCTCCACCTGAGGACGGCTTCTTGCGTTGTGGCCGAAACGTCGTGAGAATAATTAAATTGTTTTATTTTGATTATTTTATTATTTCCATTCTACGTGACTTTACCGAAAGAACCAAGAAGATGAATCCCTGCAGTCACGAAAGCTTTAAATCGAGAGATACTGTCAATGTATCTTTGCACGAATGCATGCATGTGCTATTGAAGAAGGGATATTGCCCGAAACGTCGCCTATGATGAGCAGGGTTGGCTACGTACGGTGCGAAAGAAGTTGTACAGACACAGACCTGTCAACCCCTTATCACAGTGCCCTGTGTTGTTATAGAACAGTTCAGAACGTGTTGGTCCACCCCGTTCTCCTTATGAATCTCAAAGTTCATCCTACAAAGTCACATCACAAGGGAGAAACACAAATAGACAAATGTTTTATTATTTTACACGCTTTTATTTAACTCACTATTGTATTCTCAAATCTTGTAACTCAATTTAAACCCACTTCCCAATATGGTATCGACTGCAAACTTGGTATACTTATGTCATACTGTTGACAATACTATATTCTATCATAAAAAATAAAAAACAAATCTTTTAAAACATTTTTATATGTTGTGTTTCGGCTTGGGTCTAATTGTCCATGGTAAGCTGACGTTGGCTTTAATTGTCCCTTACGTTATGGCAAGTTTCGGGGCCACTTCCTGGAGTCGTGGAGTTCTTCCATTACTAGTACATTTCATAAAAGCTTGTTTAAAAAAAAGTTTTTTTGAATATTACTTATTTTGTTGATGCCCGTATTGAAACGGCTGTACGCCGTATGGACCTGATCACTCATTTTCCCTGTACAAGAATACGGGGTACACCGTATTGGTTGACAGGTATGCAGCTGTATATCTGTTAATGTAATGTATAACGCAAGTATTATTGACGAACGTGTAGATTTTATAATTTCTTGTGCACCACTGCTAACGGTAGCAGCAGCAGAATCACCAAATTATGTGCTAACATTTTTTCTCGCTCTCTCTCGCCTTACCTTTAAATAGCCTTGTAGCCAAACATCAGCAGGAATTGGGCCCGCTCTCGACAGATCTTAAGCTAAGCAGGTTTGAGCCTGGGTAGCAACAAACAGGTTTGCTATACGGGTGAGGGGAGTAATTTTGTGTGCAAGCAGAGAGCGGTGCAGAATAAAAAGCAACTGTTGTATTGTACTTCTATGCTCCCTGGGTCTCCGTTGCACCTCCTTCAACTCGCCCTGACCCAGTGTGGCGGTCGATAAAGTAAAGAGTGTACCACTTTGTTGGAAGTCAACATTGGTTGTCCTTTTTGGATGGACTTGCCCCCCACCCCCCCCATAATAACGTGGAATTTACACCACTGTGCTGGGTGTAACGATTCCCTCATCCAGCAGTGGATTGACACAAATGGCCCTACATATGTACATTTAACTTCTCGGTAAACTTTAAGGCGCAGACTTGATTGAAACTGCTGGCGCCTGTCCGTGACGTTAAGGTATTTTCTTCTCTTTAACGATGGTTAAAATTCGCGTCCAAAAGTCAGTAATGGCTACCAGATAAGATATCGTAGATAGAAGCGAATTTGCCTCTCGTTGCATCTTCAATGGCCTGTTATCTTAATTGCAATGGATAGGGAGGCACAGTGGTTATCGCACTACGATGCTATGAACTTGATAACCCGAATTCGAGTCCCTTCCACGGCTGACATCAGTGGCAAGTGATATCTGAATTGTTCCTGCTGTCCCAGCACTTGACCAACTCGAATCTCCGATTAGTACGGTTGGCTACGTACGGTGCGAAATAAGTTCAGCCTACACACAGTACATTGACCGGCGTGGTGAAGTATGGTAAAAAAAAACACAATCAACATGGCGTGGAAAGGCCATGTGACTTAAGGCGGCTCTCTGATCAGTGTAAATTCCACATTTCTATACCTGAAGTCAGTCCATATAGGACAATCGCTGTTAACCTCCCACAAACTGGTTTATTGACCCAGTAAGTATGATTGGTTGAGTCGACCGCCAAACTACGTAGTCAAGAGTGTTTCACTGAACCATGAATCTGCTGCTGCTGCTCTATTTTAAGACCTTTTTGATGGACTTACCCACACCATAACAATGTGGAATTTTCACCATTGGGCCCCCAAGTCTCAATTGACATTGGGATACATTTTGATGTGTAATGTTAAATTATTATTGCCACAATACTTTTTTTTAATTGAGGGGAGGTTTGCTGCCTCTCTTAAGCTGAATGCACAGACATGAAACATGATTGCTCATCTGCAATGATGGTCTTGATGCAGTGATGGAAATGCCACATTCTCTTGATGGTTGCCTACTGCTTGGGTCTTGACCCAATGCAGTTGGCAGATTTTATGTTCGTTTTGTTTATGTTCTGTATGTGTGCAGAACTCTCAAGACCACTCAAAGCGAGAGTCTTGAATTGCGTTATTTATACGTGAAGAATTGTATTATTTACTCAGATATTGGTGATAGTAGGAGACCTTTATTTCGAATCATGTGAGAACCCTTTGAGACCAGTAGTCTCTTTTTCAAGGGGAGACCTGGGTAGAAGTAGTTACAGCAAACTAACCTTGGCTTAGAGACCCCAAACTGCAGTGACCTTGCCTGGTGAAGTATGGTAAAAAAAAACAATGCATGACCAATACGGTGTGCGTGGTGGGGGGCTTCATCCGTTTGAATTAGGAATGGTTGGAATCTTTTTTTAATGCATTTGCATCGAGAATGCATGCACAGCAAGTCGTAAAAAGTGCATGGACACATAAACATACATAAATTACCTTTATTCATAACCGGGTATGAGCGCATTCAGTTTAGGAGTAATTTTCGAAGTGCTGAGAAACGTACGAATGCAAATTTAAAAATACAGTGTATACATTGGGGGAAAATCCCATTGCTAAGATTTTCTGATAAAATAATATTAAATAATGAAACTTACATAAAAACGTGTGCTCAGTCAAACATTTGGCTGGTATCAATAAGGTTGCCTTATTGAAGCACCAATAATCGCAATGACAAATGCGCATTGATTAATGTAACATGCTCAGATGTCTTAGTATCTGTTTAGGGTGGGCAGCAAGTCCCTCTACCCCTCTCCTAAAGCTGTTATGGCCCTGTAGAGATTCATATATATTTTGACTTCCTGCTCACCATTTACATTGTAAGGAAAGTCATTATAATGACTGGTGCCGGTAAAAACTATCGCCAGTCCAGTGTCTTTCAATGTGAGCAGGTGCCACGTTGGCGTTCTGAGGTGATGACGATGATGGTGCGCTGGGAGTGGTTGTTTACCTGGGGCGACCGGGCAAACTGGTCTGAAAGCCACGGTTCCGTGCCTGCCTGCCTGCCTTCCTTGAGTGACAGCCACCTTGCTTAATTTATAATCGGCCAAGAGGGCACGTATTCACTATGCCATGTGCAACAAACATATTGTACTGATCGAGTACCCCCGCAGCAGTCGTCAGAGGCCGTTTATCGTCGTCGTCATCGTTGGCAGTGGTCGTGATCAATCCACTGCTGGATGAAAGCTGCCCCAAGCTGTCGCCGCCTCTCGCAGTGTTGCAATGCAACGAAATGGTGAACATTCTCTTGGGTGTATTTCCTTCCTAGACTGCTGGCTATTATCCGTTCTAGCGCCTTGCCCAGCCCACATTATTTTCTTAATAGTCAAATGATGTCTTTAACTTGTGCAAGTTCTCTAATCCACGTGTTCCTCTTCTGTCTCTCAATGTGATTCCAAGTGTAAAATCTCTTTATGCCTGTTTCTGCACTTTTCTACTTTCCTTCCGTTTTCTGTTGTTCCTTTTTTGTCTTTACTCCATGTTGCAGCAGGGGTTTATTTTTTATAGAACATCTGGCAATTGAGCATCATTATTTTCATAGTCCACATACTGCTGATGAAACTGAAACATAACTTATTTAGGATCTGTTCCGTTAAGCAAATACTGCTGGAAAACGTTTTTGTTGAAGGCCCATATGCTGATGGACTAATAT